GGTTGGAAACCATAGGGGGGAGTATATGCATGTGAGATGCAGGGTTAGCCACTGCTATTATACCATGGCTGTCTTGTTGATCGATCTTATGGCATCTTTGGGCAGAGGGTTTCAGGGTGCCATGCTTCTTGAAGCCAGGCAGCAAAGTCTGTCCAGCAAGATGGGGTACCACCAACACCTGCGCCCAATTCGGACAGTGAAAGGCGGGAAACTCAAAGTGCAGCATAGATCAGCATGTGCCTGGTTTTGGTGGATTCATGGAGCAGCTCATGCCCAAGTGGCATTTGCTCCAGTCAGGTTGGATCCCATCAAGCGCGATGGAGCGCCGATCGCTCAGTGCCCCTCCTTGGGTCTTGTTTTATGCAGTCAGCGGATGCAAGGACGTTGTGGGACCCTCTATGAACCTCTCCAGTGAAGAGGTACTACCATACTTGGGACAGATACGACCCAGAAGCAGAAGTGGAGCGAATAGAAGACCAGGCTTGTGGATGAAGACACATGTTCTGCAATCGGAATTCTGCCAAGACTGGATTCAGAAACGGTTTTCCAAGGCTTTCCAGACGCAACGAGCGGAAAAAGAAGCTCGACAAGCTGGGAGCTTCAGATGACAGTGAGGACAGTCTGTCAAAGTCGGTTGGGGACGTGGGTCTGCGCATGTCTAAGCGGAAACGTTTGAACTGGCCGAAGCGTTATGAGCAATGGGTTTGGCCGGTCGGACGTCTGACTGGCTGGTCTCGTATGTCTTGAGGATTCACAGGTTTTGCATTGGCCCGTTCACCTGGTTGGTCGTTGGTTGGCCAAATTGGCCAGTTGGTCGATTCAAACCGGCAGCCCCATCTATACATCTATGATCATCTTTGAGCTTGTATCCCCAGATTAGTGCCTCGGCAAGGGACAGCGGGAAGGGATTCTGTTTGCGTGGACCGTTTCGTATCGTGTGACTACCTGGATACAGGGTTGTCGTATCGCATTCTTTGCCGTACCTTAAAGTTGAACACTCCTGCTTCCCTTCTTGTTGGTCTCGTTGCCTCAGGAGCAGCACTGTCTGGATATTAATTCCATTTGTACATCCAGGTTGTTAATTGAAACGAGATAGGAACGAGCTTCGTGGCATCTCGTGGCCGCGAGTTGCCTTTCCAAATCCTACGGCCCCACTTCGCTGGCTGGGGGATCTCATGGTGCCTGTGCGCCAGGCGTTCCAGCCGTATCCTTGAAAGCTCAAGTTGCCAACCCTGGCCTTCACCCACGTCTTCTTACTTGAAGTTCTTCTCCTAAGACCTGACAGTACGCATGCCTGATATCTGCTTGCAACGAAGAGACCATCTGTTGAAGCAGGAAGAATACGAAAAGATGGTCACTGAGACATTGAAATTAGGCTTTCAAGTTGGTCTGGCGGTCGTGCGCTGGCAACCCACGCGAACAACGTCACCAGCATGTCAACGTTTAGGTGCCCAAGCATGTCCGAGAGCCAGCTTTACGAAATGTGTCTCCTTCGCCAAAGCCACCTTCATATCCTCCAGGTTTCGAATGTATGTTGAAGCCATACAAAAGGCATGAAAAGGCAGTTTGCCGACTGTTGATCCTTCAAAGCAAAAAGGCAATGCAAAACAACCAATGCCAAGAAATGAGAGACCAGGAAGAGGAGACGGGCTTTGAGAACTTCTGGAGAACACCCCCGGCAAAACCTTATCATCAATTTTGCCAACATGCCCTGGAGATTGGCAGCACTTTCACAGCCTTTCTTGTGTTCTCTCTGTTCCTGCCTGGGATTCTTGGCTTGGATTTCTCGCGTGGGTGCGCGCTCCAAGCACCTCTCCCCTTCGACACTCTCTGGCTGCAATGCCTGGACTTCTAGATGCAGCGTCATGCAGCCCTTGTGCAGCCAGTAGATCTGCCTGGTGCCCGCCGGCATCTTGTCCACAGTTTCAAGCCACTGGACACCAAAATCCTGCCTGGTCAAAACCAGGGGTAGCGCACCTGTTCTTTGGTTCAACAAATCTTGTTGCATCAGGAGCAAGTTTCGGCAAAGATTATGGATGCAGCCCTGGGGCCTAGCGCATGATGGATGTAGGTATGGGTTTATCACTACATTCGTTGATCATCAGTCTGATTTGATTTCTGAGGGTTGAGCTTCCATTTTATTAGCTCAGCTAGTCCGTTCTGAACAGAAGGGAAATGAACGAATCCTGCATTTGGAACTGGTATGTCAATAACCCTAAAGTTTACCATGTTGTGTCGGTTTTAGGTTTGACCGGTCTCACTGGCATTTGGCGGTTGGCTGGCAACCCACCAAATTATAGCAGCTGCTTGCGAAGCCGTTTTGCGGCAGCCAGTCACAGCGCAAGTGCGAGTGCGAAAGCATGCGAAAGCCATCAAAAGCTGTGCATACGGACTGATGTAACTGTTTTGTAACTGTTGTGTGGCGCCGCAAAATTCGAAGCGCCGTGTCGACACAGGCATGGCATGCCGGCGTCCAACCAAATCTGGAGGATCCATCGTCAGCCTTCACACGTGAGCAACAAGGCGGATTCGACACGCTCGTGAGCCCATGCTCTGAGCTTCCCGAAAATTGTTGCGCATGTCCAGAAATTCAATCCGCCATAGTGTTAGACAAAGGATTGCAACCAGAAGCCCCCACTGCAAGAAGCTTCATACATTGCCGTAGACTAAATGAATGACCGAGCAACCAGAAACGATTGGCAAGCATTCTGCCAATTGGAACGCATTTTTTTGGTTTTGTGTGGCGAGCATATTGGGTACTGAATCTTTGTTACAAAGGCTCTCTTCCAGAGCGCTAGTTTAAGCTCAGCCTGAGCTGATCAGTCCCAAGAGGTTATGGTATGATCGGAGAGTGTGCGGTCCGCTTTGAGGGGGATTTTCAAGGCCTGATCAAAAGTTGTCGTCCCCCCCTCTCCCTCCCGGGCGCCAGTTTTGCGAGACGCCTCCCCCTGACTGATCACTGGTCCAAGTCCAAGGCTGAGAAGGACCGAATCTTGGATGAAATGGTGCCCTGTCTGATTTGCTCAGTGCGTGGTGTGTGCTTCTGTGGCCTGCCTGCTCATAGCAGAGGCGTTGCAACCCAACGGCGACCGAACGCGAACATCCACGGCCAAGCCGCGAGTGAAGGCACTCTCCTGGGTGCCACATGTTGCTGCAGCAGAATTCGTTCCTGGGACTCACTGAGGTGTCAGTTCGGCGCAGCGGGCGCAAGGTTGCACCGGTCGATCTTGCTGCACCGCGCAAAGATGAGGCTCAAAACAGCAATCGTTCCAAATTGTTGGGCTCAGATTGCACAGGCAAACCGTCTCTTTGCGGCAGGACGCTACAGAGAGGCAAGACGTGAAGCCAATGCAATCTCTAGGGCACGCAAGTCCCCGAGGCCATTGCGGCTTACACCGCTGCAATCGACTGCCTTGACAAGTACGAGCCGGCAGTTGGCACGGTGCCGCTAGCCTGGTTGCGATGAGCTGGTATTGTGTGTCCTGCGGTCTGTCCACGGGCCTCATGTTGTGAGGCAGGTTCACGTCAGGGCGGGGGCTCAATGTGCTTCATGTCTCAGGGTCAGCAATATCTCGCTGTGACTGACCATGCAGGTGACTCAGGTGACAGGGTGCAGGAGGCTGACTGTGCAGGCGAGGAAAAGGAGGCAATCATGCTCAAGGCTGGATTGCGTTGTTTCTGTTGTTCATGTCGCTGAAGCCAATGCAGGTTGCTTTGCTGGCTAATCGGGCACTGGCTTGCCTTAAGCTGGAGGACAGTGCAGTCAGTGGCTTGCGCTCCTTTTGAAGCCTTCCTTTCCGGCATATTTTAGATGCAACTGTGCTAAGAGCTGTTCTGGATCTGTCCTGGCTTTGCGACACATTGAAGACCCTTGCATGACCAGCGACAGTGGCCAGCGTCTTTGTGTACAGATTTGTAATCGAAGCAGAATTGCTGAGATACACACCCAGGTGTTGACATTGTCAACAAGTCAGCAACAAACCGCTCGTACACTGGCATTCATGATGCGCAATCTCATGCCCTTGCTGAGCTGGCCAGTCGCGGCCTCGCATGTGCATTCGTAGCCACAAGCTGGCAAGAAGCATGGGAGGATAGGGAGGATGAGTGGGCAAGAGATCACTTTTTCCCGACCAGTTGCGATGTCTTTTCTCGTCGACTTCAGCATCGTTTACCTTGTGCCTGGACTGCGCGCAGTGCCCGCTGTACTCATGCCTAGCTTGAAGCCTAGCTTGAAGCACATGCAAAGCTTGCTTGGAGGCAAATCCTGGTCTGGAGCCTTAGTTCTTGGGCTTTCGAGCTCCAACTTTTTCGACTCCAGTGCGCTTCCCGGCGAAGGTGGTTTCTTTCTTCTCAGGGCTTCTGAGTGTGGAGGCTCTGTTGGCTGAAGTAGCTCCAATGGAGTTTGTTGGACGGGGTGCATTTCTAGGCGGCGCAAAGCTTCTGCACAGCAGAAAACTTGGGCGGTGCCCTCGGTGATTCAGTTGGGGCCAGGTGGTCTGTTTTGGATCGCTGAGGTCGCTTCCACGGTTTTCCGCAGCAGCTGGATGCTGGCATTTATTGGCCAAACGCCAAGACCAAGAGCCCATCACACATGAATTGTGTTGGGGGCATGATGCAAGGTTCGGGCATGATGACCAATCAGAGAAGGACGCCGATGCAATTGTAGCGAGGAAGTCAAGTGAATCGAAGTGCAGCCGAATTCCGACGCCCATCCCCAGTCTGCAATTCGGGATTAGGTTAGAATCATCTGAAGCTGGTCCGCCGGAGGCATATTTCCTCAAAGCCATACGTTTTGCTTCACCTCCGGACGTTTCCGATAAGCTGATCGATTAAGAGCGCGTCGCTGCTGAAACCTGTTGGATTTTGCCCTGCGTTTGTCATCGCCGCTTGTGAAACTGTGGGCGGCTTCACGGCGTCCTCGTCTGGCTCGTTTTTCGGGGCTTTGAATTTACTTTGCCCCGCTCAAAGGGCCCTGAAGCTTCAAGACTCTGCTGAGTTGTGCGTTTGCTTTCGATTTCGATGCTGACAGACTTAAAAAAATCGTTTCACATGGTACAGAAATGTTAGAAAGTAACGCACCATTAAGGAAGGTTGATGTTAGTGCAGTTCCTACGCCAGTGACATGGGTCCAAAGCTCACCATGTGTGTATATGCCGGCAAGTGCGTTTACATGTTGCAGCGCAGAAGCATATGATTCAGAACGGAACCTTGAATGTTTTAGTTGTTTTGAGCATGGGTGATTTGCTGGAAACTCTCATGTCCACACCGGAACGCGGCTGAGTGTCTCCGGGTATGAAACTGAGTGCTAGATTTGGGATTTCCAAGAAATTGCTGTTGTTGTCAAAGACATGGCGTGTTGCAGTTCAATCTGATTCGTTGCGCGACTCGCCCCTTGCCTAGCCAACGGAAGTTCTGACAAGGTCAGCTTCAGCACTTTAGCCGTAAATTACTAGACTTACTCGTCTGGAGTGCTTGTTATGAACACGCTTGCCACGTGCAAGGACTCAAACGTGATTGGTTGCGCGGCACAGTCTTTGAATTGGGACATGCAGAAGCGAGGGGATGTTCGAATGCCGCAGAACAGCGGCTCGAGCGGAAAGTTTCGGTTAGGAACCTCACGTCATGTCCTCACGTCATGTCGGGCGTTCTCCGGGATATCGCACATCCTTATGGGGCGCTGCGAGATTGGGGCTGCGTTCAGGGTCCGCCAGTGGAGTTGGTGTATGACTGTCTCTTCGAGGGGGCTCGCCATTCACTGATCATGTTTGATGAGGCCTTCATTGCACTGGACAGGCAGGGTATCCGCTTCTTCTTGATCTTGTAACAGGTTGCAAATCGAGGGAAGACAGGCCGTCTCCAAAAGCTGTCTTGGAGCCAGGGATGCGCAGTAGAGCAGGAGCTCTAGATTGGCGGCAGAACAGTCCCATGATCTTATCGTTCAGGTGACAGTTATTCCCAGGCTGCAGGTGCTTGTCAGGATCGGAGGCCCCACTGCCGTGGCCTTAGTTCGATTTGTTGACATCCTGGATGCCACGGGGGTCTGGCTGTCATGTTTGCCGGAATGCTTTCTCCAGTCAGTTTCTGGCATGATGTTGGGAGATCAAGGGAGTCTGTCCGGAGTGATGTGCGACCTCATCGACGCCTTGCTGCCCCTTATCCTTGGACGCGCCGTCGGTTTCGTGATCGAGAATGTTTACATGAGCGCCGACGGAGACATGGACAACAAGAGTGGGTTGGTCTAAGTGCGCTGCGTACAGGTGGTCCAAGAACGGCTCACAGATTTTAACGTCAGAGCAGACTGGGATGACCTCACCAATCAATGTGCGGGGCGATGGGTTCAGCGAACAAGTGGCCAGCAGGGCTGCAGACTCTCCCACCCAGGATTCGCAACCCCAGCTCTAGGTGAGCGTGGTGAAATCTCACATAGGTTCAGCAACTCGACAGCTGGCCGGATAATTGCAGAATTTTTGCCCCTGCAACTAGCAGGAGAGTGCGATGCTGCGCACCCCTTCCGATGCTCTCGAGTAGCTCCAATTTTCGTGCAGGAGCAGGCGCGTCATTTGACGGCTGACTTCACCCAGCGCGAGTCCTGTGAGGACAGGGATCGGCGTAGGCTGCTGGGGAACTCGTGGCGCGGAGGAGTGGTGTCGTCCTTGTTCACGCAGTGCTGAAGCATGGCGTGTTTGCGTCGCCGCAGGCAGCGCAGCAGCAAGGTCTCCTGGACAGGTCTCTGAGTGTCAGCCCAAAAACTTCAATCAGGCCTGTCAGCAGGCGCGTCAGGCGCGTGACATACAGCTGCCGATCACTGGATCACTGGAGTCAAGCAGCCCACGCAGTCAGGAGTGCCCCCGGCGAGTGACATGTGGGATCATTGGCGCGCAAGTGTGCTGCTTGTTCCTCAAGCGAGCTGGACTTGGGTCGCTCTACGCGTGGTTTCCGCGCTGGGCGGTGAGACCGTGGCCTTGGCCAGTCGCCGCAGTCTGCTCTTGAACAGAGTGGCGACACTTGTTGCTGAAATGAGCCAGCAGACGGACGCATGGTACGCTAAGGTGCTAAGCCATGTGGCTCAGACTCAGACGTTACGCCCGCAAGGTCGCTGTTGGTTTTCCGGTGACACATATGCTCACCCTATTTCATTTGAGGCGTTCGGAAGGCTGAGCCAGGGGGTACGTGCTTGGATAGGCTAACTGGGGCTGAAAGAAGACGATGTATACTCGGCAACATCTTCGCTCACTTCACCTGGAAGATCTTGGAGCTAGGTGCAGAAATGAACATGTCGTTCACGCTGCTAGAACAGCCCGAGGACCTGGGGGCTATGTGCTACGGACCCAGAGCCGGCAGAGACTGGCGTCAATGTGGCAGTGGCCAAGCAGCTAGCGAAGAAAATGGTCAGCGAAGATGCGCCAGGGAATAGTTTCCACGCTGCTGCAGGCTACTTGCACTTCTGCTGCTACGACTGCTGCGGAGAGGTCCACCAAAGAAGCGCAGAGAGACGAAAAGGAACAGCTGCTAGAGACCTCCTTTCCAGTTTGCTCGCCGAAAAATTCAAGACTCAAGACTGCGAGGGGGCTCAAGCCCCCCCCGTGCCTGCAAGCTAGTGCCGGCGGGATTTGTGCTTGCTCAAAACTGTTTTAACATTCTTTTGTGACACCCGGTGTTCCTTGGTGATTGCATTAATCATAGCCACCCAGCTGCTCAAGTGTTCGGTGTAGAACATTCATGTGAATAATCGGTGTAGAACATTCATGTGAAACTTGTTTTCACCCACCCATCCCAACCCTTGGACTGTGCGTATTGTGCACAGTGCCTCTGGTGTTGGTTCCTCACATAGCTAGCTTGATTGTCTGTCTGTGACTTCGAATACCGCTTTGCTATGTGAACCGCCAAAACAAGAGTGATGCCAACCGTGGGTTAATCTGGATTGAGTCTTTATGTATGCTATAGTCCCTAGAGAGAAGCTGGGTGGCCAAAATGGAATGTTGAGAGCAGACAAGCCCTTCCACGGAAGATGGCCCCGCGGGACGAGAGAGCTAGCAGAGGGCGATAACTGGACCTGGCTACGTGAGAAGCTTTTTCCAGACGACAGCTAGTTGCGTTGGCGGTCCAAACTTGCTGGATAAGGAAGCCTTTCGCGTTGCTTCCGGCGGTGAAGAAGGTTACAAGCTTCTCCGAGACGCTAACCTACAGCGAGTGAGCATCAAGATACTTGGAGACTGGACACATGCGCAAGATCTGGGAATCGGGGGCTTGCTCATCTGGACAGGCTGCGACTAAGGCTCATCAGGGCCATGCTGCAAGCTGCGGATGACCCCAATAGAGAATTCTTGCTAAGGGCGGAGCAAGTGCTTTTCGTGAGAATCCTAGAGCCGCTACCCCGGACTCCTCACATGTTTTTGAGGAGCAGTCCAAGTGGCCGCGAGTTAGATAGCGATCCTTGGGAACCCAGCTTGGCCTGGGTCCCCAACTACTCCTCCGCTAGAGAACATGGCGATCTTGCTTTCGAGAAATTCGAAGAGGATCCAGATAGCTGAGAGGTTCCTGGAGAAGATGTCCTTGGACGAGCTCCGGGAACGCTATGGCGACAATTCCGCTATAGCTGGCTAGCGGTCGTTGTGGAGGATGAGGGAAAAGGCAAGAAGAGGTTGATCCATGAGGCGCGCGAGAAGAAACAGCTATTACTAGCGATGATGGATAAAGGCGAGATCGCCTTTTCGGTGGTGGGCGGCATATCGAAGGCCCACCGCCGGTTCAAA